AACATTAGCAGGAGACAGTTTACTTACCACTTCAGTTTGTTAAAGTAGGATTGAAATGAGTGGTTACTGCAGATCTAAAAATAATGAATTGAATTCAGTCATCTGACTGTATGACTTTAAATCCGACACCCAGTCTGTGAGTGACGGTTGAAGATTCAATAAAATGAATGAATTATAGATGATTTGTCCTGGAAAATTTAACTCAAATGTTTGAACAAAACACTGGAGACCTGAGCTTGGCCTCCTGTCTGCTCCAGCCCTCGCCTCGGGGAGAGACAGGCTGGTGTTTGTCATAAAATACTCCCAGTGTGTCTCTCATCCTGTCGGTCTCACCGCTGCTCTCTGAGTCCACACACACACAGTCCAGTTAACTGGTGCGTTTGGGACAGTGGCGTCTTGGTGARGCTGTCACAGAAAGGTCACTGAATAAAACTGTTACTTTATTTAGTCATCTTATTTGTAAAAACTACAAAACAAGCAGCTATGCAGAAAGACGRTTCATCTGGAGAGGAAAAAAGTCAATATTTGAAATCATCCACACATYATAAGAGCTAGGGGGTGTAAGAAAATATCGATACACTGAAATATCGCGATATTTCATTTCCCGATACTGTATCGATATTCTAAGCCCTGTATTGATTTTTAATTAAGGTTTAAAATGCCAACCTTCTTGCCAACCATTCATTTTTATGTTGTAGTTCAGCCTCTGACCACTAGTTGGCAGCAGTGAGCCAGATATTTGGCTCCTCTATCTCTTGAGCGCCAGAGAGTAAGGGTAGCATTGCCATTGTAAGTAAACATTAGCTTTTCTTTTTTTTCAGCAAGAGGTTTTTATTTAATAGAATTTTTGGACAAAAAAATCGCAATATATCGCAATATATTGCCTTGCTTACAGTATCGCAATATATCGGGATATATCGTATCGTGACCACTCTGTTATGATATGAATCGTATCGCCAAATTCTTGCTAATACACAGCCCTAATAAGAGCATGAGATAATTTTGTACAAAGATGCAGTAATTCAGATTAGAGATAGACAGCAGCTTCCTGCGACTCGAAAAGAAGAACCAGGCAGAGAAAACAGATGGATGTAATAAATCACAGTATGAGTTGGTGTAATATAACTCTGTTACAAACTGAAGTGTTTAGCTGTAAAATCTAAAGTCTCTGTATTTAGTATCTGTTCTGCAGGGGACACASAGAGTGAACTCACATGAAAGATTTATTGTTTTATGATGGATRTCCTTCCAGTTTTTAAAAAGTGACATTCTCAAAGCAAGTTCATTGTGACAGATTTTAAAATAGTTTATTTTGTTTGACTTAGAGGACTTCTTTAAACTGGTGCAAGGAGACAGTTTTTGTTTTTATTAGGACTTATTTAATCGTGAAGTTTTTTTTATAAAACTGTGACTCTCAGTTCACACTCACAACTTTGTCTTATTCCATATAAAGTGTGATGATTTTAACTTTCAGTAAGTAGTCTCTGGATGTACATCCACAACTGAATATCCTTGGACTCACCTCTTTCAAAGATGGCTGCTGCAGCATATCAACCTTATTCTACACGAACATGGCTGTAACTTTGTCTGTTTTACAGTTGTGGAGCTAAGATTTGGTGTGGTAGGATATACAAWATTGCAGTTGTGCATAATAATCTTTCAAGGCTTGAATAAAACGGCTACAATTCTAACTTCTCAGCATAAAATKATCTTAGTATAAAACTCTGGCATGAAAGCAGTAGGTTTCCTTCAAGGAATGCTAGGCCTAATTTTAACGCTGCTTTTTTTTTTTAAACTAATTTTGTGACACTGATGTTTTCAACACAACTCTGTCTCATCTCTCTATGGTTGGTGAGGATAAGAATAGTTGAACAGTGGCATCTTATGAGGAGGGATGTTCTGGGTCAATATTCTGGGACAGCTGAGACAAAAAGAGTCAGTTGACTTTCTTTCTGGAAACATGAATTAAAAGAAAAAATTAGTTTAAAACATTTAATTCCAAAGTGAAATTCAAGACCCCCTTTTTCAAAGTCAAACAGTAACAAAGATTCATGACAGTTACAGCAGGAAGCAGCTTGTGTTTAAGGATGTTTAGAGATGTGAGGTAGAAGAAAGAGATTCCTTGGGAAAGGCAAAGAGGGGCTATTTATAAGACTATTGATCTGAAGCATAATGACACAGCAATTGAAACACAAACAACCCATTATTGATGTGTAAGAAACTGAAAAATAATCCACAAATCCTGTTTTCAGTGGAGTTTGTGTCTTTCATCAAGCATCATTCAGTCAGGATGATGGTCTCGGTTAAAAACTGATCCACTTTGCTCACTAAGATTTTCTGTCTTGCTAAATCAATTAGGATAAATACTCTTGTGTGCTCAGAGTAATAACACACTGTGGGGTCAGCTTGTGGGTCACTTTAGTTCAGGAGTAGCAGGTGGGTAAATTAGACTGTGTTTAGTTTCTTCTGGTAGATGTCATCTTTTCCATGCAGGCTACACTGTGGTGCAGCAGGTTAAAGGTCCTGGGTTTGRAACTCCGCTGGGACCTTTAAGCATGGCATTTACATGTTCTCTCTCTCCTGTTCTCCACATTTTACAGTGCACTATACTTTATCTTGTTATTACCAACATATTTTACTATAAATAATGTCTTATTGATAAAAGTCCTGAGGGTCAAGAGACCTAACGTCTCAGTTAGTCTGAGTAARTCCTAGATTAAAGGCAAAAAATATGCCTTTAATTCACTTTGGAGGCAGTTTTCCTAAAATAAGACCCAATCCTAATAATTTATAAGTTTTAAGATGTTGTTTCAAGAGTTTTTATTTTGTTATTTTTCCTGCATGATGTGAGAAGCTGTTTGGAGACAGCAGTGCTTACAAGTTGTTGGACACATTATCTGTAATAGATTTTAAAACTAAATTGACCTCAAAGCATTTTTAAATCCTTCATTCAACAATAGCATTGAAACAAATAATTAAAACCAGTAGAAAGACAGCTTTTTATATTATCTCATTAGCTGCAGTGAGAAACTTTTAAATTTGTGAGCATTTTATTCACACTGCTTTGACTTTCTCACTTGCAATCACTACTGAATAAAAATATCAGTAATGAACATTAATTTACTGATGTGGGCCTCTCTGATCTTGAGAGTAGCTGTGAAAAAGTGAACTTCATTGGTCTGAGGAGACGGGAGGTCATTTTTTAAAAACAATTTCTAGACTTCAGCTGATGTTAGAGAAGATATTTGGAGTGTTTTCATCCAATATCTGCCCTAGTAATCACCCATTCTGTGAGATATATAAATCACTGAGTAAAAAATAATGTTATTAGTCATTAGGAACGATACAAAATCACAAACATGAGGACATCAGCAAGAAAGAGGTKGTTTATTAGATGTTATTGATTATAAGCTTCAGAGAAACCCACAAATCATGTAGTTGAGTCATTAAAATGCAGCAAATCTTCAGTATGCTGGTGTCAGAGATAACACTGCTCTGCTGTAACACTCTGTTATTTATTTATTTGAAGAAAACAGTGTTTTATTTGCTCACAGTTGCAGAACACTGGTTCAAAATATACATGGATTTTTCAAGTGGTTCTATCTGGGTCTCTGTTGTGATAAAATAAAGATCAAAACTTTTTTAATCATTTAAAGGAAAATCATATTTTGTATAAGATACAGTTGAAATCATTTCTCTTTTTATGTTGTTCTCAGTCTTGAGAGGTTTATCCAGGGACCATAAAAGTTTAAAAATAAGAACTTGAAATGAATTAGATTGTCTTTCTAGTTCCTTTCATTTATGACTTGTTTAGTTTTTATTGTATGTATATTTTTTGTTTATTTTTAAATGAATAAATCAAATAACATTTAGCTTTAAATATTATGACA